TGGCAGTTTAGAGGCTTAATTTCTATCTCCATCAGTATGTCCCTTAATCCCTTTCAAAATTGTCTGTCGTGTACTAATGTGCTGGCGTAATAGAAAAGCCCCAGAAATAAAGCAAGTCCTTAATGAGTTTATTAGTAATTCTGTTAAGAGAAATAAGCACATGTAATGAAGAAACCTGTTAAAATATTTTGAAGTCACTTTGAATGCTCCTTTGGTTATTTTTTGTAGTATTGGAGTAACATTTTTAGACCCATCACACTAAACTCTCTACTTGTGGGATCAGCTCCGTCTGTTTAAGAGTGAATTACCTCACAAACTACAGGAAGATCTTCTGGGGATAAAGCAAGGGCGTCTCCCCACCTCTTGGCATGGCTATTCCAGGGGAGCACAGGGCTGGCATTTTAATTCTCTGCTATAAACAATGTGACTCCCCAGGAAACATTAGAAGCAGGGTCCTAAATTTTCTGCAATGTATAATCTACTGACATCTTGGCTAAGAGGCCATCCAAGCTGTGTGTGCAACCTTGTGCTGCCTACTCCTTCCATGCTACTACTGCTGCTAAGCAGAAAAGGGACACAGGGTTTCTTTCCCCACCATTTCTGCTGCTGCTCTATTATATGCCAAGTTGTTAGTACGGGGCTTCTTAACACCCCCCCGCCCCACACACCCACACACCCCTTATTACCTGCCCTTTCATCTCCCCTGGAAAAGCAAGCCCCAATACTTCTGGGAGCTGCTGTGTCTGCTGACAACAATTGGCAGGAGTCGGATGATCTGTGCTAATGTCAGTATCTATGCTCTCTGCATGCTGTAGTTACACCAGCTCAGCTGATCTGTGGTAACCAGGGGAAATCCTGCAGATCTTTTGGACGACTTCAACATTAGATTGGCCATGCCAGATTGGCCATGGAGTTCTCTGGAATAGTTGGTGTGCAATATTCTCCAAAAGACAATTTTTTTAACTTTTTAAAACCTGCCATTTGCCTTTGTCACAAAAAGGAAATATTTACACTATGTGAAGGTCTCAGTTCTGAACCCCCTTTTGGGTGACTGTGTTTTGCCCTAGATTAATGCCTTGAGCCTCAGCAAAGATCAGAACCACTTTGCAGCAGCCACCGTGACAAGAGTAAGAGAGAAGCCAGAGATGAAGTGACATGGCCAAGGTTGTGGAGTAATTCAGCGCTCAAAGCAGGAGCAGGTCACAGACCTCCTGATTCCAAGGCAGTGTCTTAGCCACCAATTTGTGTTAGTTGCCCAATATCCATAGTCTTTATCCATATCTTTATTGTCTGTTTAACTGAGTGGTGGGAGGCACTTCCCTTTTCATTTTCAAAATAATCGGTATTGAAATAATCAGGTATTGAAATTTTTTCCTCTCATTTACTTGGAATCTTCTTGGCTGCACATTTGATTCTTAGTAGACACAGGTACTGTAGTTCATATGCTGTTATCTGATCTATTTTCCAGAGCATGTGTAGCTGTTTTTGAAAGCAAATAAAAAATAATCCAGTTAAAATGTTTAAATCCACTCAGTGCTCCAGCTTCTGACATTCATCATGCTAGAAAAGGACATAAAGATGTGTATAAAAATATGACCTTTTAACTCAAGTGGCACTTTGAGGACATAAGAATAGAATCATTCTATTGCGTTAAATAATAATATGTGATTTGAATGTGATAACAAGTCTTGATTACGGCCATTAATGTTTGTATGTAATAAGGAAGGTCTAATAAAGGTACTCTAAATTAAAGTTACCAAATATTACAAGGAGTTGCTTTGCTGTTAACACCAGCAAATATTTTAGGTAGAGAAAAAAATCGTTAAGTGTTGGCTGTTAATCTTGGGTGAATGTAATAGATTCAATTATGTAATGTGACAATGAATTTGTTCTGCTTTGCCTTGGGTTAGAATTTAAGCTTTTCCCCTTCAGATTTATTCAGATTGTTAAGTGGCTGCTGAGAAGCTGGAACCTTGTCAAACAAACTTGGCTTTAAATTTTAAATTATTTTTAATCAATATGTGAAGAGGCCAAGCTCTGCCATATGTTACTCACTATCCATTAGTTGGTAGCTAGTCATTAAACTCTCACTAAGGTTTCCTAACTGTGACTATTGTGGTGATTTTTTTTCTCTCTTTGTAGAGTATGGGCAAAAGGGAGCATTCGTGGCAGATTGCCTTGAGGACAATAAAAACTCTCATGTAGTATGGTTGTTTGTTCAGACACAAACAATAGAGACATTTTGCTATTACCATTTGCCAGCTATCAAGGGGTTTCGAACACCCCTCCCCCTTGGTGCCTACAACTCAAAACAGATGCAAAATCTTTCTTTTCAGTCCCCTTGAAATGACCTGGTGGTGCAGTGTCATTTAGAGGAGAAATTATTGGAGTGAGAGTGGCTGGTAACAATAGGGGCCTTGTGCCAGGCACATGACAGAGCAGCGAGGGGGCTGTTGGTGACTTTATTGGGGAGGAGAGCGGCGATCTGGCAGGTGCTGCCATTGTTAAAGGTCTCCGCTCCTAGACAGTGGTCACAGATGAGTTCATGTCACTTTGTTCAAACACTTTACGCAGAGTTCAGTGATGTGACACTGGTCAAGGAGCCAGTCTAGCTTTTCTGAGCTCCTCGGCGTGGTCCCTTCTTTAACATAAGCCCTTATTGCCGAGATATGTCAACATGCTTCTCGGCCATATGGCTTCAAGCTAGAGTAACTTTTGTACTTTCTGAAAGGAACATAATAACTTAATGTTTACTCTGCTAATACAGGCCTGGTACTCACTACTGATCCTGGCATTATTCTGTGGAGATGTCATCCAGAAAACCAATTAAAGTGTATTGATACAAGAGAGATCCATTGGTTTAATGCTGAATTTTACAACAACAGAGATCATTGCTTCTCAGCTAAAAGCTCCTGCTGACTACATTTAGAAATACATGTTCTCAATGTAATTCTTTTTATAGGCATAACAATGCAGTGTTCTGGTGGTGTGATTGCAGACCAGCAAACAGGGGTGCAGAAGTTTAAATTTTTTTACACTTGAAAGAATAACATGGGAGATGGTGAGAAGAAAAGGTCAAATGAATTGAAATAAATGTATTAATGCATTAGTTTTGCTCAGACTGTCCCTTGTCTCAAAGCACCAGGCCACACTATAATAGCTACATCTGCTTCTGTTGTACATATTGTTTAGTTCTAGTTTTTTGGCTCAGATAATAGAAACCGGTCTTTCTGTGGGGGAAACAAAGAATTTGTTTTTGTAAATTGCCATTTTTTTCTGAATAAATCATGACAAACTTGGCAGATTGAACAGATCAGCCATATGGAAATTGGCAAATTTTATTCTGCTAAGGATAATTAAGCAGGGAGGTAAAGTATTCTAATGACATACTTGTTTGTGGTACCGCAAGAAGCAGAGAGAGATGAAAATGAGGAACTAGTGCTCAGAAAGAAATATCCTAACCTTAGATAGAATTTGAACTGTTAAAGTATGAGGAATTTGAAGTTTTTTCAGAGCCTCTTAGCAGGCTGGGATAGGCAGTTCTCATCCAAACAGTGGCAGTACATCCAAAATGACAGCCAAAAATTCCACCTCAGGGATATATTCTTTTTTTTTAAACAAACAACATAGAAGGCCACTCTTTTACCAACAGTGATTATATGTTAAGACACATAACAAAAGCTCCTTCATAATATGGGAAGGAACTCTGGCCATATAAAGCCATTTGCACTGCTGATGAATTTTATTGTTGTTATTAGACACTTGTGACGATCTTTAATTGTTGGCACAAGTGAAAAATAAATCAACCTGCAAACAAAAGTCTTGACAATTTAACTCTGAAATATAGTCTAAATAAATTACAGTAATTGCATCAGATAGATACAGAACTAAACTTCAAAAATAATCAAGAAAGATAACATTTTAGAAAAAAAGAACTTTGAGGTTCTTGCTAGTGACAAAGCTAAATCAAGTATTGCAGGCCTTTCGAAATGTGAATCTTCATAAAACACCAGTGTCAGAGGCTTTTCAAATTTCACTGCCTTTGTTGAAATGCTGAGGACACTGTATTTTGTCCTACATTTTAAATGGTTATCCAGGGGATCTTCTGAAAAGCTACTGAGGCCTCTAGTTAGAATAAATGGGTAGCATAGAAAGGAAGTAACTTCTAGAATAAAAATTTACAATCCATAAGCCAAGAGCATAATAAGAAAAGGCATTATGGTTTATAGGAATGTTTAATGTCAGCGTAATGGGAAATGACTCAAGCAACCAACCTAGCCAAACTCTCCACAAACAAACAAGCTCTTCCACCTCATCCCCCAAAAATAACAATGTGAAAAGCAAACTGAAAACAAATCCGAGGGGGAGTAAAGAAGGGTGTGGGAGAATGACCTGCTAAAAGAATATCACTAAATTTTCCAAACTGCGCTATCCATTAATTCTTAGATCAGGGAAAAGGAGTCCCATCTTCGGGTGTGCTGTTCCCTCACATTGTGACCTTTAAGCAGAATGGAGTAAACCTCTGTTTTCTTATCTGTGTTACAAGCAGTAAAAGAGATTGCTGCCCAGATATGGGCAGGTTTTCATTTGGTTCAGTAATGCGCTCTGCCCCTTTGAATGACAGAGCTAAAAATAATCCGGGAGGTAAAATATCCGGGAGGGGGCACACACACATGATTTGTGAAATTGAGCCAAGTACTCCAGGCTGGCCCCGCACTGTGACAGGGGCTTGTGTGGTGGGTTGGTCAAGGGATCCGCTCTCTCCAAGCTGATAACTTGTAGCTTGACAGAGCCATGGATTATGCATTTTTGTGCTATACACACAAAACAATGTTAACAGAATTTTAGAATGTCAAAACTAAGCTTTCAAGCTTTAAGAAATGCCAGGCTTAAGGTTGCCTGTTCAACATGAATTGGCTCCATTTGTGCGGATGCAATAGGATGTAGTCTCTAATGGCATGGTCATGTAGTATTTTTTACAGGCCCTCTGTTTCATTCAGCTGACAGGACAAACCTGCTCGAGGATGAGTTTGGGCTGAGTACTGAAGAAGACTGAGGATCTCAGCTTTACCGGTTGGCATCTGGAAGGTGAGTCGTACGTGAAACGAAAGGCTGCTGAAAAAATAGGGCTGTCTTACTATATAGTAAACTGAGAAGTGTTTCGCCCTTTGCCTGTCCCACTGAGTTCCTGAGTAATTCTGTACCTCTTTTGAGATGGCATGTTCCTCATTTTCTGAGTGCCCAGCCTTCTAGGTTGGGCTCTTACCTGCTGAATGATTGGGCATTCAGACTTGCAGTTGAAACTAGAGGATGCTCTACATGCCACAGGGCTAGGGTCTTGTTATTGGGGTAGGTGGTCTTTAAAATCTGTAGTAGGTGATCAGATTATCCATTCATAGAGAGTTCAATTAAGGTTGTGGGGCCAACCTTAATTCTGACTTTTCCTTAATTTTGAGAGATTGATTTTGCAGCCTTTATTTATAATGTTTAGAGATTTCCATAAGTGAACTTGTATGTAATCTCCTACATTTAAAAAAGCAAACTGCATAATTAAAACTCCCACCCTGAGACGGCCTCAGGTTCATGAGCATAGCTTGAATTTTTATATGCAGTGCACAAACTAGTCAAGCTGCAGAGATTCTGGTCATAACAGCAAATTGTCACCTTCTAAATGGAACATATCCAGAGACAGCTCAAACACAGGCATCTCTGTGAGGTTTGCAGACATTTGCTGACTGCATTGAGCCTCAGGATGGCATATGTGTGGGTACTGTGTTATTGTCGTCTCAGGCTAGTTTGTCCATCTTGCAGCTTCTCTTTTGACACATGTGCCCTAATCTGTTCCAGTCCTGTCCGTTCTCCACTCCTGCTCCTCACCCTACTCCTCGTCTCTTTAGTCAAATTGTATTTATCCCCGATCTCCCTGGCTGGGGCCTGGCTGTCTCCTGTCCTAGTGTTTTTGCCCAGCTGGACCCAGTTAACCTTCCATGTCTCCAGTCTCCATTGGTTATAAGCCCAGTTTCACCACAGTTGCAGGTGCTGGGTTTGAGCTGAGGGACAAATCACTCTCAGTCTGTTCTCCAGCTCCAAATGCGAGTCATAGTCTCCTTCTCCAACCAGTTGTATTCAGCCTCAGGATCTTCTAAACTTTCTCAGTACTATCTGTGAACTTCATAATAAACAGTGTTACCAGCCCTACCTGAAAACACCTATTTGGAAACTGGTCTTTTCATGTTTTTTCACAGTGGCCACAACAGAGACAAGCTTCTTGGAGATAATGGTTGCAGGTGAAGGTCCACCTAACTGGTGGTTGTCTGAATCCAATGAAATGATCCCCAGGTCTTGTGAAGCTGTGAGTATTTTGACAGGACTCAGTAATTGCCCCCCTTTTTTTTTCAAAAGTAGGAAGCAGCAATGAGACCAAGGAAGGACCATGGCTCACGCTGATCAGTTCAGGGGATTACATTTACAAGCAGGAATTTTTTGTTCATTGCATTGCCAGAACTGTCCTAAAAATACAGGCTATATTCATTAGATGGGCTTATCTGTGGTTTCCTCTTTGTGTTTCAGTAGACTTGATTATTGTAGGGAAAAAAAGGGAAATATTGAGAATATAAGAAATATATCATTTATGTACCTATGGAATTAGTTCTTTAAATTTTTGTAGTGTAAAATCCCACTGTGACAATGATTGGTTTATAGTCATAGACTCTTTTTTCTTTTGGCTTCAGAGTTTTTTGAAAAAGAAACACCACTTAAATGACACGATGCCTGGTGTGACACACTGGTGTGATGCTAATTTTTAACTGGTGTATTTGACATGGAGTAAAAGCTAAAGTTAACATCCTTCATTGACTATTACCATTAACTATTAACTTTAAAATCTGGATGTCATATAAATAATGTTAAGTATTTAGTATCTGTCCAGGGATCTTCCTAAGCATTTGGAAGAAACAAGCATGTTCTTCCATTGCTCATGCGTAGAGTAGCTCAGCTTCCTGCAGAATTGAGACTCTGCCCTTAGCAATCTCAGCAGAAGAGTGCAGAACTGCGGCTGTAAAGCTAGCTCAGGAGGAGGCACTCAAATACAGGTTGTTTACTTAAAGTCTATACTGACAATCTATCCTTAGATGCATCATCCTGAATTTTAGCTTCACATACCTGTCTGGGACTGAAGCCAAAACTTATATATGTGACAGGATGTACTTTGTTCAAGTCTGCATATAGTATTACGGTAGATATATGTTTTGAGAGAGTACAGCTCATGCAGATCACTAAGATTTAGTCATCTTAAGTTCTCATATAGTGGAATGAACAAAACAAAAAATTAAATAAAAATCTTTAATCTTTCTCTTAAAAATACCTAGCCTGAAAACAGCTAAGAAGCTGACTTTTAGAAACGTGACACAAGGAGTCTGACCATCATCACAATATAGCCTTATCTTTAGAATCAGATGTGAAGAAACAGACACGTAAGCAGTCTATACAGTATGGTGTAAAATATTTGGGACAAATTCAGAGAGAGATAACAAGAAACATCAGGCTTTATTCTCATCTTATCTGATCTTCAGGAATTAATATTGAAAAGGATAAAATGATACGTTCTATTTTGCAACCAAATTTTCTTTCTTTTGCACAGACACCCCCCTCCCCGCCCAAAAACGAGAAAATACAATTTGATACTTTTGAGCATGTAATAGTAAGCACCAGCAGACTCTTGAATTAAAAAAGCAGAACCAGGGTATTCTCTTGTGAGTAAGACTTACTCGTGTCTGATAGAGTTGCTCATGAGTGATGAGATAGGCAGGACAGGTTACTCTCAGAAGTCATAGGTGGAAATATCCCCCAGAGATCTGCTTAAGCTGAGGAGCAACCACTGATGTCTTGCTGAAAAGAGAATCAGGTAGATAACTGAAGGCAGCGTGGCAGCACCACTCCTTGCAGCACATGCCCTCAAGAGAGTAATGAACACTGGACCAGTGAGAAATCTTAGTCCTGCTGAGGGGCTATGGGAGGGGTTGGAGAATGAAAAGTGTGAAGTGTTTATTTCTTTGTTTTGTAGAGCATGAGGAACCAGTTAACATTTCAATATCTGTATTGTATGATCACAAGGAGAAGGGAAGATTAGAAATACAGAATAGCCATGAAAGCAGTAGATTGAAAATGGGAAATGAATAGTGAGGAATAATCTTGCAGAAACATAAGGATGTTACGCTATGACAGCTAGGGAAATGGATGAACTTTGGGAATGAGCTAGAGTCATATTGTCTTTCAAAGACAACAGTCTTAACAAAGAGACAAGGTGCTATGGTGTGTTGCCATTCAAGGATAGAGGCACTTGATCTCAGGAAAAAATGCAGGAGTATTGCTTTGAGCTTGCCAAAAGTTGGAGTCCTATGTACCTAGCAGAGGTGAGGTATTGCCTCACCTCTAGGCAGGAGCTGCTGCCTCTTATGGGAGAAAAGGTCTCTGTGAGGGCCCATGGAGTCCGGGATCTTGCTAGCTCAAGACTTGAAGCAGGAGCTTTTAGTCCTGCTGACCTCAGAGCATGGTGTCAGCTATGAGGCAGTCTCCCGTCTTGCACGGCAAGGTATATGGCCCTGTAGCTGCTGCAGTGCTGGCACTACTTGCCATGTTACCTCGAGCACTCTCAGCGCAGCTGCTTTCCCGTGGTGAAGTATGCTTATCTGAAATTAGAAGTTAAAAAGTAGCATTAAAGGGTGCCCTTACCACTGCATGCCAATCCCCTTCAGGCACTGCTTCTTAAAAATAAAGTGTCACTTTGTCGTCTTAGTAACAGCAATGTAAACCATAAGTGAGGTCATCAAGTCTTGCTGATAAGAGAGCTGAATGTGTACTGCAAGTTTCTTGGTCTTTTTATGATGTCAGTATAAGTTCTTGTCTTCTGTTGATGATGATAATGGTTTTACTGTTTCCCTGTCTGTGAAATCACATTTTCATATTGGCTTTTTACCTGCGGCTGCATCTTTTTTTTTTTTGCTAAGGAATGAAAGCTGGAAAGCAAAACTGAGGAGATGGAAACAGAGCAGGCCACTGCCAAAGCACTAGGAAAAAAATACAAAGAGTAAATTAGCAGTAATGTTAAGAATTTTAAACTGTTTTGTTGTTTAGAAATATTATTTATAACTTAGAAAGAATTGCTATTGCAAAAACTGATAACTATTTTTAAAGATTATTTTTGTAGCCAAAAGGGGAGAACGGTGGCTGTTCTATTAGGGCAGGCTAGCAGTCCTGGGAATATTCTATTCCTCTTCTGCTTGGTAAAGAGTACATCTGAAGAGATAATAACAGCAAGGAACATATCATAGCTTTATGATCACTCGTCAGCTTTGGGGAGTCTACGAAATGAAAGGTCCCCAGACTGGACAAGGTTGAAAGGTTGAGGCTATAACCAGACTTTTTGTTCCTGAGACGACCAGAGCCATTACTGAACAACAGACAACAGTGAATAGATTATGGCATCTTTGCTTTGTTGCTGCTCCCTGGTTTAAGGATACTCTTGTCCTCCTTCTGCCCCTTCTATATTTGACAAGTTTGCTTTCAGTAGATATGACAGGCACTGGTGGGGGTCACTGGCCCAATTCCACGTTTCCACACTTGGCTTGCTCCAAGTTCAGTGGCCTGAACTAATGTCTCCAATGGAGGTCGTACTACTGAACATTATGAGTTTTTATATATTAAACATGCATTAGTGGTTTTACCCTGCTTATCTGACAGCTGTAGAAAAATAAAGAAAATTCAGTTTGAACTTTAAAAAGCAGGGCTTAATTTATGTTCAGTACTTTTGTTCCTCACTTTCTTTTTCAATTGCCAATTGCAAAGCTCAAGGGAGATAATAAAATGGAGGAGCTGCTACTTTATACTTCCACGTGCCTCCCAGTGCCTGTGCCTTACTGGGTGAGCTAAATCTAAAACTAGGAAAAGAGTTTTCAGATGGAAATTTGATTAAACAATACAATCATCTGTCTCACAATCTGTTTTTTTTAATAAGGAAAGTATTTTTTTTTTTCCAGGGGGAATTTTCTTTCAGAGGGTTTTGTATGAAAAGGCAGACGTCATGAATACTGATGGGAAGGGCTCAGTGTTTTGTTATTTCTATGTAACAAAGACAAAATGCTGTAATAAAATCAGAAAACACAGATGTTACTTTGAGTATATTTTTGCATCTTTTACTTTTTTTTTTTTTTTAAGTTGGGAACAATCCCTCCCTCAGACTGACAATAGCAGCTCATAACAGACAAAATTAGCAGCTGGAAACTTAGCCAAAAATTTAGGCTTTTTAGTTTGTTGTCATTGTTTGGGATTTTCTTAAATGCTGAAAGGCATGCTTGAAGGAAGAGGCATGGATGAATTGAAAGCCCTTGTTTCTCAATTTCAGTATAGTCTGCTTGTATTTTAGTTTTTATAAACAGTTTAAAATGGGGAAATGTGCACCACTTTGTTTAGAAATGAGCCTGTTGTGATTGTTTCTTTTTTTTGTGAAGACTCTGAGGGAAATTCATGTGGTCTGATAATGTATATTTTTCATATTAATTTCAAGAAAGCACATTTTTACTCCAAAAAAAAAAATCAAAGCAGTAACACTGATCTTGTAGCTAATTCAAGCAGTGTGTCAGGGTTCAGGTGAGCTCACAGGGTTTCTGTAGGTCAGTGGAAAAGTTACGTACCTCTGCTTTTCCTACGCAGTCTATTTCTAGGGATGAAGCTAGAGATGCCCAGTTGTCAGTCGTGATTGAATGATGAACAAAGTGACTTGATTTCGTTATTGTATGTTCAGTAATTTTGTGGTATCATGGTATTTTTATGTTATTTTGTGCGTTTTACAAGAGCAAAGATGGCTACAAGAGCCGTTTCATGGCACAGAAGAAATCTGCCTGCGTGGTTGGTTGCTGGTGGTGTCTCTGCTATCTTTTGTGCCCACTGCCTCACTCCCTGGTTGTAAAGCTGGATGTGAGCAGGGTGGCCCTTGCGTGCCTGGAGTCGGGAGGCATCATGGTTGAGGATTGTCCCTGAGTCCCCCTGGTCGTCTGCAGGGCTGAGTTAGCGCAGCTGTCAAGAGCCCAGACTTCCCCAGGGCCAGGGGAATCTGAACCAGGAAACCACTTCATCAGAGACTACTCTTTGTACGATATTTAAATGTTTCTGGATGCAGCGGAGAAGCAAGTCTGCAGAGCATATTAACCTCCCTGTGAAGTCTAGTGTGGACATATTCAGTGCTGGTGGTGGCAGTGGTGGGGGAATGTGATGTGAGTGGTTTTCATGTGCTTTTGACACATCTTGGATTTCTCTGCTGATGGGGCTATTATTTGGAATGAGCTACCTCAGAATGGT